GGTCTTTGCAAGAGACGACACGGAGACGACCGAACCAGATCTTATCGGATTGGAGCCATTCGCCACACTTGTAGCCACCGGATGTTGTTAATGGTGGGATCTTGTAGACGGAGACCTCTCGTACCACGAGAAGAGTGTGTTCGAAGGTCTCATCTTCTTCCTCTTCAAACGACATCGTTTTGGTGGAGAGAATCTGGCGAGTTTCAGAGGAAGACGTGCGGCTTTCACGATTTAGAATTAGATCGTCCGGCCGCTTAGTGGACCCCTGTCATGTTATTTTTCTTTCTTAATTAATTCTTGTCCTCTTTTATCAGCATTTTTCTTTAATAAAAAATCATTATATATCATAATTCTAGGCTTTTTTGAAGAATTAAGTGGAATTAACAAAGTATATCATACAGTATAAGAAAGATTTATATTGCTTTTAAAAAATATATTATAAATTTTGAGTTTAAAGGGTTTTGTATATATGACAATGATCTATCAGATTCCAAAAACATGAAAAAATCTATTGGCCATTTCATATAATCCTTATTGCTCCATGTGTAGAGCATCATCATGGTTTATGTAAGTAACCAAGATCGTAAATTATTAAGAACACTAACCAGTAAAATGTTATTCTTGTTCACATCTCTTTATGTTCTTCACCATTTTTTTTTCCGGGAAAAAGAAAAGGAAAGATTTTATTCAGAAAAGGAGTTGCATTTTACAGTAAACCTCAACAAAACCAAGATACATTTTTGTACATTATTATTTATTACTACTACTATTTAACTTTGCTTTGTAGAAGAGGCTCATTGAAATGAGAATCAGCCCTAGAGCATGAAGAAATTGACAAGACATTGATCCAAATTTCCTTTTTTCTTTCGTTGATTTTCCCGTGTGAAGAAGATTCATATGGCTTCCGTCTTTTCCCCTGTTAGATCTTCCAGTGTTGCCCTGCTGTTTTGAGATGCTTTCACTTGTACTCTTATAATTTTATGAGTAAACACTCTCAATTTACTAGTGAGAAAACACACTTAATAAAACACACACACATGCATAACCAACAGAGTAACAGCTTTGTTATGGGTTCTTGGAACAATAGACTTAGGTAGTTTACGAGAGTTTCATAATAGCTGAAGCCAATAATCAGTTCCAGATCATGGAATACATGACCAAATGCAAAAAAAAATGATCTTTAATCCTCACCACTGTATAAACTTCTTCTTCAACGGAGCACGATGAGGAGACAGAGGGGCAAAGCTTTGCTTATGATACTTCCGTAGACCACTTGAACGCAGCTCATCGTGCTCCTCCTCGAGATACCCGCTCTGCTTTGTTAAATACGCAACTTCATCCTTTTCAATCCAAGTAAATCCACCAACAACATTGTCTTGCTGAAGTCCCCTAA